AGGATGTCTTACTGCTACCGTTTTACAAATCAATTGTTGAAAGCGAATGTTTGAGAACACTCCGTTGTAGTGGAAACGTATAAATCGATACGGAGCAGGAACTGGAGCTCTTCTATCACATATTATGTTATGTTTAAACACATTATTGTGATCTAATTTGTTCTCAGCTGCGGTATCTATAACAAATGATGATGAGCACATGATTTCAGATACCCGCATACTAGTACATTAAGGGAAAAAGACGTCATTATATCATGAATAAGGTAACCAGCATCTCACTTTGTAACACAACTTAGATAAGAAACTCCATAAGTCCTAGGGACAGACACATTGTAAAAAAATAGTGCGCTGATGCTAGTACACTTTATACAATTAATATGAAAAAAGGTACACGTAGATGTTCTTTAAAACACCGTTGTAGGCCTTCAGGGTGGTTTGAAGATGCTGGCGTATCTATTAAATCTATTCGTGAAAACAACTTTATTTCTGCTACGTTATCTCTAAAAAAAGAAATAACGGAAAAGTGTGTTCAACTAACCATGTAGGTTCAATACCACTTATGCATTCCTTATGACGGTAGCCTTAATCATCATTAATCAACTGACAGTAAATGGGTTTTACGATTCCTTGAGTAAATACCCACAGTCCCTCTGCGTATGGCAAAGTCATGTGGATTGGCTAAATTGAGCTTGTTTCTGGATGGGGACCGCTCGTACTTGGGTCCCATATAGGCCTTATGAAAAAAAATTAAAAAACTTATTGTGGCACCCATTGGAATCAATGTCTAAGGCCAAGAACATAAATATTTGTACAGGTACGCCTGGTATTTACCTGTATGAGTGCCAACTTGGGCTTATCTGTCATGACCAGTTCAGAAGCTACAGTGACATGTTTGCAGAAAAGAAATAACAGATCACTCCTATACTCCTATACCCTCTCTCTCTCTCTCTCTCTCTTTGTGTGTGTCAGTGTGTGCCTTCGCACGCTTGTTTGTTTCCAGAGGATATGGTTTATTTAAAAACAGGATTTTATCTAAAACGTTGAATATTTCATAATTCATGTCGATCGCAGTTTTTGACGCCTAGCACATCCAGGGAGCTTGTCTATGTTTGAACGTAGGCCTATATGTACGGTAGCGTCTGTACCACTGCTCATATATTTGTCGATAATGCTGCCTAAATACATGTATATGCATCCACTTCATTTACTTCTTCCTCCAGGTTGGCAAGCCCAATGACTACTGCTATATGTTGATTGACTGCATTTGCCAAATAAGACGGTTGCAGTTGTCGCAACTTGTGAGATGTTAACACCGTACAAAAAAATAAATAAACGAATCAATTTATTGATAAAATTTAAAAAAAAGCATAATTAGTGAGAAAAAACTTTCAGGTGTTAACACTGTATCCACTGTTAATATTTTTATACACGTGTTTTTCACTAACTTTTCTACTGCTTGTGAATATTAATGTAATAGTGGGGGCAGTGGTAATCTCGTTAGATGCCACCATAGTCTATTCTTTGGACGAAGGTATGTGTCTTTACACTTACGGGATAGGAGTATTGAGTCTGCCTCTGTAAAAAGAATAACCACATGCATCGACACCATCCGACAAATACCCTTGCTACCAGCAATAACACCTTAATGCTGAAAATAATCATATCTGACTGTTTCAATCACAAGTTTTTGAATTTTCAGTTCAGGATCGTTTTTTTAGATATTTCAGTGATTTTACTTAAAGACATTTTATCGTGTAACACAGAAACCTTAATTGCATGTGCTCTACTGACTCTTTTTACTTTTGAACTTCTTCGTAGCCATGCACATCACCAGTGTATGGTATTGCTCAACTTCACTTACACTGGCCGGTTTTGTTGTTGCACTCGTCCTCTGATGTAAATACAAGAATATACAAATCTAGATTTTGAAGTTATTACAGCAGTTAATCTCGTGTCAGACACTCAAAACACCACTAGAGCCATTCCCAAGATATTCATAAATAATACAAAATGACTGATCGTCAAGATATTGTTTTTGTAATACAAAGTAAAAATTCTCTCATGTGAAATCAAGCAATTCGAAATATCATTCTTCCTTGACTTGATGCTTTTAGAAAATGAGAGTGGATTATCCGCAGGCGGACTGTAATGTGTATTAGAAATGTCCCAGGTGATTATAGAAACCGCATCATTATTATTAGTAGTAGTAGTACACAGAGAATTTAGCAGAGCGCATAGCGACAAGTAGAAGAGGGATTTGAGGAGATAAATCAAAATAAATAATTAGATAAATAAACAAACAAACAAACAAATACATAAATAAGTAAAATACAGTTCGCAGGTGAAAAGAAGTATTTTATTAAGTATCCTGTATTATTCCATATATGCATATGCCTCTTATTAGCAGTGCTCCAGTGTTAGTGGATTGGACCAGTTAGTTCAAGGGTAATAAGAGGACCTTATACACGTTTCTTCTTGGACATTTCAAAATTTCATGCAGTTTACTCCCATCCATTACCAGGCATGTTCATGAAAATACAAATAATGCTGCTGGGGTATGCTACTAGGTGTTCAAATAGCCCTATCACACAAAAGTAATCAATACATTTCTGGGAGCACATAGACATATTCCGCACATCCCAAAAGTCCAAACGACTGGTCCTTTCCCCAAAACTCTTTAAAATGGAAATAAACAAAATATGAGCCTTTTATAATTACAACTTGATCTCCTACAAATATATGCATTCTATTCAAACATTCTTCCGTATCAGCATTCATGTGCAAATGAGGCAATATAGCAAACTATATTCGCGGAAAGATAGTCGTGTGGGATATTTTCCGTTGATTGACATGAAGCGGCATATATTGAGGGATACCTTTCATCGCGACTGCCAATCCCAGCATTGGATGTGACAATCGGCTTTCACTGTCTGAAAGGGCCTGCTCATTGTTATGTTATCATATTTAGAAGAAACATTGTAAATAATATGGCGACCCTGGCACAGATTATGTATGCCGATAGTTAAGTTTTCTATGGAGAAACACATATTATAATCCCCATTTCACTATTCACAGGGCTTGTTCATGTGCGCCCACTCTTAACTGCGTAAATTCAAGATAAATGTCTTACTCTTACATGTGTATAGAGCAGGCTGAGATTGGGAGTACGCTCGTGGAGATGACTTGAATTTCCCATGTTAAAAAACATCTTCTGTTTGCTACGTCGAGGCAAACTAGGCACTTGCCGTGTCTGGTTTCTCAGGCTGTGTTTCACTAACAGGACTTGCCAAGGGGCCCCAGGAGAAGGTTCCAGAGCTCGGTAGAACGGGTGGTGTGCCTTACTTCTTTTCAATCTCTGGTGACAGGCATGCGAGTAGGCTTTAAAAACATGATATATTCGTAGCTCCTACATACACGTCATTTTGAAATTCAACAAAGCTGAGCAAACAGAAAATCCAATTTTACAAGAAAAAATTTATTCGGTTAAACGATCTGCGTTACACAACAGCGATGATCCAGCCTTGAATCATATACATAATTACGTCTTTGATTTGATTATATGCAAGGAATGACAAAACCACTATACCAACACTGTAACATGAATAATGCACGAAACATCTCACTGGATATGCAAACCCATCCAAAATGAACCTCCATGTTATGTGACAAGTTATCTGGTTAGAAAAATCAATGTTCTTTCAGTGTCATACATAATTAATGGTCCACCTGCTCACAGGCTGGTGCCAGGTTGCACTGGTGCCAGGTTGCCTTGGGATTAAATTCTATTATATTAAATATTTGAATGATATCAATTAGTATACACTCCTTGTCTTACTCTTACATATAAAATTGAACACGGGTCGCATGTACATCATTAATGGAGCTACAGAAAATGCACAGCATTTTAAGGGATCATAAATCTTAATCATACAGCTACAAATCAGATGAAGAAGAAACGTCAATGAGTAGTAATAACTATGACTTTTAGTCACTGCTTGATAAAAACGTTTGTAGTAATTTTGAATGCAAATAACTAATGAAGAAATTCTTTCCTGGGCCTCGTTATCTTTGCTCCATTATTTGACTCAGTAGCATGCTACTAGTACCGGTATCTAATACAGAGCAAGAGTAATTTCCCCTCATCAACTACAAAGTCTGGAAGTTTTACAGTCTCATCACATGGGAGAAAACGTAAATAAACTTGGTGTGGTCTCTGAGGATATACACCGGTAAAATCTTTCTAATAAGGAAAATATGTAAGAACCAGCATCCAACCATAAAATAAATTATAGCAATGTATCATATATATCATAGTCAACCATACTTAAGTTGTTTTTTTTTTATTTTAAGAAGTTTGAGTGCATTTGGTACTAAATAACAAGAAAAAAAGGAATCTTCACGTCCAAGATACATACATGTAACTAAATATAGAAAAATTATACTTTGCTTCAGTCACACTGTTATATAAACATCTTTCTTTGAATCAAAGACAAACAATACAGCAATAGACAAATCTTTTTAGTATGCTCATGTGCAATGAAACATATTGCAAACATAATGCTCATCCTCTAGTAAACATACAAGTTAAAATATATACAAGTACACATATCTACAACATTTAATATTTTATATTAATAGTGATTTTAAAAAATCCTCTTAACCTGCTTTAGAAGCATGTTTCTTTAAACCTTAATCTTTGTCTATGGCAGATTTTAAAGTTTTTTTCAGATGTTTTCATCTGAAGCTTTCTATGAAAAGGATTAACTTGATCAAACAAGTTCAGTGACATTTGTGCATCAAATGTGGACTTCAGTAATACTTACAATTCTAAATATCATGACATTTTAACCAGGCCCCAACACAAAAGAACTTAAACACCCAAGAGAGAATTTTAAACCCAAATGTTACATCGCCTCCCAGTAGTATTTATGCTCATTTTTCATCTTTTTGCTTGGCAATACAAGAACGTGTCCTTTTCATATTAAAGAGAAAAAAGTATGTACATGCATTTATTTTACAACCATAAAGCAAATGTATATTTGTTTACATCTGATTGAATGACAAACTTCAATAGAACATCTGACACAAAGATAAATGAAATGTAAGGCAAACATTTATGTTGGTATGCTGGTACATATATGTCAATTATTGTGCTTGGGCTTACTGTATTGACTGAAGCTACTAGGAGCATATACAACAATTGTTGCCATAATTTTGACATATTATCAATATAAACCAAGGTCATGGGACTTAAATAAGCCTACTGCTTCCTATTCTTAGAACATAAAAGCAAAGCAACTAAAATGTGTAAAATGACTGACAAGACTGCAAAAACCCTTGGCAATCCTTGATGAATGTGACACAGCAGTAAACCTTATGGCCAAACTGTACAATTGTTATATGGATCCATTTACAGAAAAATACTGAAATATGGAGCTGACATTCTTAGCTGGAGTGCAGAAGCATAACTGAATTGATTGCTGGATCTGTTGCGTATGATGTGCCCTCAAATCCAATTTCACACATAGCAGTGGCAGTAAATTTTCTGAACCAGCATGAGTATTAATGACACTTGCTTTTCTAAAAAGTTTTTAAAAAATGCCACATAAATTTAAGGCAATAAGTACAATTTCTACTTAATGCAAACAAACTCAATTATTATGGTTTTCTTCACTGAATAATGCATTTTTTCTTAGCATTAGCATCTCTTCCTGATGACTCTGATCCATCTTCACTATCAAGAGTATCTTTCTCAAGAGTGTCATTCCTCTGGGAATTCTGAACTGGATTCATTACTGGTACATTTTGATGAACTGGTTCTGTAGAAAACGACGGCATACCCTCAGCCAACTTAGATGGTGGTAGTTGAGATTGCACTGGGTGTTCTGGACCAGGAGAGCCGCTCTCACCTAACACACTTCTTCCCAGACCACTGCTGCCAGGAGACATGACTTGTGATGCTTCACAAGATTGTTCCTGGGGATTTTCCAGGGCAAGTTCAACTACATGCTTCTGGGGATCAATAACATTTGCTGGGGGTACTACAGCTAACTTTGGCTTAACAAATGCTGGTTTTATCCTCTTTGCACTTGCATCAAGGCTGGCTCCCAAGCCGCTCTCTTCACTTCTGACTTCACTTGGATTTCTGGATATATATTGCTCACTTGATTGCTCACTGCTTGGTCCAGTACTATGATGGCTAGCTGCAGGATTCTCTAAATGTGTTATATTTTTATGGGACATGGCCACTGCCTCAGTGCCAAGGTTTACAAATTCATCACTTTCATCTCCATTATAACCACGACCTACATTTAATTCCAGATCTTCTTGTTGGGCCTGTCTCTTCAATTGTGTAATGCTGTCCACACCCTCTGTGTTGCTTGGGTAGAGGTTATCCATGTTATAAGAATTGTGGCTCAAGTTCACTCCACTGGCAGGCTCACTTTCATTTACATTACGCAAATGAGATGGAATACCTGCGAGCATTTCATTGTGAACTGGTGGTGATGCAGTGGACCGCACAGCATTTTCTTCAGAATCACCACCCACTTGTTTGACAGATGTATCATCCACACTGTCAAATGGCTTAAGTACTGCCATTTGTGTGTCATTTGTTCCCACTGGTAATTTGAGGGCAGTCTGATCCCAATTACCCTGAACATCAGGGCTTCCTCCCCTGGAGCCTATTGGCTGTTTGGGAATTGTGTCATCCTGATGTGATACTGATTTAGGGTCAGTCTCACTCAAATCACCGCTGTTACCAGGGGTTACCTGTGGTCTAATAGGACTGACTGCAGCAACAGGTTTTATTCTAACGGTTGGCTTTGCAGTTGCTACTGGTGTCTTAGTCGCCACTGGTAGTATGCTGGGGACGACAGAATCTGAGAGGCTGACATGGGTTGATGTAGATTCTTCATTGTCTTGAAAAAGTAAACTGCTGTGTGGCGTTTTTGCCTTGCCAGTTTCTTGGTCATGGTATGCTATGACATTATCCTGACCAGGGAATATACGGTCTTGATCACGTGTCTGTGCTTGGTTGTTTCTATCTGTTAATAGGCCATTAGCTGCAACAGAAAAAGGAACATGGTCATTACAAGGTTCATTCTTACTGTGCTTTTAACACTTCATTTCTCCTGATGATTTCACTGTACAAAGCAGTTAGATGGCAATTTTTAATCTGATAAATTGTATAGATTTCACAAAAAATTCATTAACTGTGTATGAATAATAAAATGTTGCATTTCAGTAATAAAGTTTATATCACAGAGCTATATTTCAATTGTACTTAAGATTAGTGAGCTTATGTTCAATGAATCTATTCACATCATAATATATGCAAAGTCAATTACAAAGAAAGATAAAAACAGTCTCCTGGGTCTTTCCAGACATAGGTCATAATTTTGTACAAAGGAATTTTCATATTTTCAGATGATTTAGCTGAGAGAAGACTGTCAGTGTGGACAGCTCAGTTAAGCCAACTAGGAAGAAGCTAATTACCTGGAAGTAAAGGTGGTAAATTAGGACCTCTGCTGGTTGTGCGTACTTGACCAGGGACTGTACTATTGCAGGGACTGAAATATTGCAGTAGAAGTTAAGGAAATTACCACACTTATATTGATCTTCTACATTAACAATTCACCTTTTTGAAAAAGTGAAAACATGTTTTATCAAACACTTGGATTATTAAATGAAGTGCAGTCAATTTATAACATACATGTATCTATATACCATAAAGCATGCTATCATGAAAAAACAAGCAAATTTACATTTGTTAGAGATAAATTGCAAAAAATATAATGCAGTTCTGTTACAAAACTTACGTGCTACTGCTAGGTTTCTGTACAGAAGTTCTGTCTAAAGTGGTGTCCCATTCATTGACACTGTCTGGTGAAGCTGGGCCCTCTGGTGGTCGTATTGGTGATGACTGGCCATCCTGTGGTGACTCTGGGCCATCAGTGACGACATCTTGACTTTGTCCCACCACCGCAGTGTTATGATTCCCAATCTGGATCCCACTAGAGTTATAAATGTTGATAATCTGTGTTGGGGGCTGTGGGGGAATTGCTGCTGGTGTAGGGGCAGGGGCTACTGGAGGCCTCTCAGAACCTTTAGAAGTGGTCTCAGGTCGTGCACCATAATAGTGGTGATGAACCTCTTTCACAACTCTTGAACTCCTGTGGGAGTGTGGCCCTGATTTGCCATCAGATTCTTCATATGAAGAAGAATTTTCTCCTTTTCTGTGACTTCCAGTGGCTTCATGATCAGCTCCAGGGTCTCTTTTTTTCATTCTAGCTACTGGAGAGGCTCCACGATGGCCCGCATTTGCTGACTCTCCACCCATGACTTCAGTCTGTGGGCCACCTGTCACAACACCACATATTTCTCTTTCTCCATCATCCAGCCCCATTTTCTTCTTGCTTTTGACAAACTGGGCACTTTCTCCTTGTCTTCTGTTTCTTGCCAGTGGGCGGTATTCTTTGGAAGGTGAGGATATTTTATGTATAGGCAATTCAGTGGAATCTTCAAGCTTCTCATCTCCACCATTCCCTGTCTCACTGGATTCTACCATGCTGTCATCTTCCTGCTCTGTGGGCTCCCTGTTGGTTCTTGTGATAGATAAGGGGGGTGGCACCACTGAAGTCAAGGAGCCAGCAGTGGCAGTTGTTGAGAGGACACCTGTTGAAGTGACAGGTGTAAGAGAACAGTCAGCCACCACATCTGAACCATCATGTCTCTCTGTACCCATGATATCACCCTGTGAAGTGGCAGCAGCCATGTTATTGTGCTGGGACACACTGGTTTGATGTGATGCAGTGACCACTGGGTGATCATCACCATGACCCATCTGCACTCCACCTCCACCTGTCTGGTTATCTGGGGTTTTAGTAGCTGACACAGGGGTTGATGACTGGGCTGCTGGTGAAGAATTTTGTATTTCTTGCCTTTCACACTGTTGTTCATTTGACTGAGGTGGTGGACACATGCTCACTGTGCTTAATTGGGACTCCAGCATCTGGGGTCTGCCTGAGTATTGTGAGTACCCTGGCTGTTGAGAAGGCATTCCATACCCTTGCAATCCAGGATTCAATACTGGCTGTGACTGTCCCATATAAGGCTGCCCATGTGATCCATGATACGGGAATGGTTCTGGAACCCCAAAGTAAGGATGACCAGGTGGTGCTGGATAGGGCCAACTGTACTGTGGCACAGGAGGATGTCCATAGAAATTCATGTTGTGTGATCCAGCATGACCTTGATTCACTGGGTATTGCTGAAGAAATGGCTGCCCCTGCATTTGATAGGCCATCATTTCTGGTGGAATAGGCTGTTGTGAAGGATTTTTCATTGTTATTTCACCATGCTGAATTTTCTCCATACTGATTTGGTACCTCTTTTGTTGTCTTTCTTTATCTTGCCTTAATATTTCTTCCTGTAGTAAATGGTTTTGTGTTTGTTTTGATGTTTGAAGTTGCTGATATAAAATTTCAAACTTTCTGTGATGCTCAGCATCTTGAGCTTCTTTCTGTTGTTTTGCAAAGAATAACTTTTTCTCACTTTCAAGTTGCTTCTGTTCTTCTTCCCTTTCAAATTCAAGACGTTTCTGTGCCAGTTGCTTTTTTTGCTTTAGCTTCTCAATTACAGTCTGCTTTTCATCTTCAAGTGCCTTTCTGCGTTTTTCCTTTTGAGACAGTTTAGCATCAAATACATTTTTCACACTCCTGTAGAAATACTGGTCTATTGATCCAATGTCAATCCCCCTCAATGAACGCAAACCAAATGGAATCTTGAAAGGTGCTTTTCTCTTAGGGACTGTCCACAATGGAATGACACACCATTTTTTCTCTTCTTCAGAAATACAAGTCATTATTATCTCATCTCTTTGTAAATCTAGCCATTTGTCACCAACAAAATGTTCCGACATGTACATCAGTATGAAAGTGCTACATTCCACTGCAGTATCAATTTGCTGGAGGTCAGACTGGATTTCACAGAAAACCTCATCGTCTGTGGTACAAATTTTTATGTGGCTTTTATCTTTCAGAAGTAACTTGTCATCTGTCTCCAGTATGTCCCTCAACTCCAAAGCATCAGTCTTATCTCTTTCATCATAGAGCAGCAAGGCATCATACTGTGGAATACGTAATTTCAGAGGCAAGTCTTTCTCATCAATGTCAGAAACACTTAATGAGTGTATACCAGAATCTAAGCTGTTGACATCATCACTAGGTTGGATTCCACTTGTGTCATCTTCTTTGTCATCACTGGGGCTCTCTTTGGTTGATAACAAAGACTGAGAGAATTTTGCAGGAAGTTTGATGGGAATGGTTGGAGCAAAAGCAGACGTTGGGCTAAAGGGTGCAGCATCTGGTTCTACATCCTCTGAGGAGCCGGAGCGTACTACATCTGTCTCTAACCCACTATCCATTTGACCTAAAATATACACAATATATGTATATAAACAATGAGCCTCTCACTATGAAGCTTATTTAACACAAATGTAGATCTACATTGCACCTCAAAATATTAAAAACTTAAAGCACACACTTCAAATTAGCAACATGTCTAAGACTTTAAATAATCAGACCTGAATCATCAGAAGTCCACACTTTATGACCCTTTTGTTTATCTGAAAAATTAATGATATCAATTTTTAGAGAATTTAAATATTAAGATAAATTCAATGTTTTCATCTATGCAAAAAACTTAATGAGAAAAAAAAAAAGATATGAAAACTTCAAAAGTCAACCTAATCCAAGGAATTGGATAACCAGCCACTACACTTTTTATTCATGTGAATTTTATAATAAAAAATCACCAAGAAAAAATGAAAAAGAAAAAAAATGCTCAAAATATCAATACTGTCAAATACTGAAACTGACAGAAACAGTGATATTATATGATATTAAATAATGCACAGGGCTAAATATCCACTGAAATTGAAAATCACATAGGGAAAATGCCAATATGTGAAATAAACTCGACAAATGAAATGCAATCAGCTGATGAGCTGCATTTTAGTCCTATGAATAATTAAAGGATGAGATTAATAAGTAACATGGTTCTTTTTTTTATTGTGTTTATGATGACAGTGCACAAAATTTTTTGTCAATGTTGATGACATAGTAAAGCTTAAGAACATAATCCCCACCAAATTGTAACCTTGTACTACTTTTATTATTATGAACAGTAACAAAATGTAACAACTACAATGCTTATATGTAAAAAGTAAAAAATTGGTAAAAAAAAACTTCATAACTTCAAGAAAAACAATCTAATCAGAATGTTTTTCTAATTGGAACTGTCTATTAGTCCTATGAATCATTCAAGCAAGTTGGAGAATAAAAAGTAAACTGATTTTCCTTTTGTGTTTATAAAGAAAGA